ATCACACCACTGTTCATCACAATACAACAAACCTCAATTTTCTCTTAATCACAGACATTTAAATCAATATACAGCAGATCACTTACTCCCTTGTTTTCGTACAACCTACAAATTGCTTATTTACTTGGCCAGCAAGCAGGTAAACAGATTGCCTGATGGTAAGCAATCGGCGTCGCCAATAAACATCCGCAACTCTAGAGGAGTTACTAGTGCATTGCCATCGTTTTGGGGAGATTTTGAGTTTGGGGGAAGGTAAGAAGGTTTGGGCGTGTGGGAACCTCTTTCACACACCGAAACACCACAGTGAGACACACAGGATTACCTGTGACGTCTTGGTAGCTCGGCTTCAGTTAAGCCTAATCTCGGATCTCCCACCCATAATCCAAATGTCACAGTGTAAGACAGGGCAGGATTGTACATTTTAATACAGATCCCACTTGCCCACAAGTCTGTTATAAGTTTCCTGTGAGAAGGTGAGCCAAGCACGAGGTAAAAAGGGATCATGACATATTCTTTAATCGCCATTCTAATTTCATTTTTAAAAATTAACATGTAGTTTTTGTCGTTTAAGAAACAATACTAAGCTAAAACGAATTTGAGTTATGAATGAAAGAGGTCGTTTCGTCACCGCTCAGTATTATATCAATGGTAATGAAAAATCATTACCTAACTGACGGTCTAATAACATTTAATTATTTTTTTAAAAAAACGTTGCCCCACATTAGGATTTTCTCCTGTGTCGTAGGCGCGGTTACAAACATACGCGACACATTGCATGGCAGCCAGTTGCCCAGCCACCGCACCAACCGTGCAGTTGCAGTCAAGTTAAACCATACTTTCATTTACAGGTACAACCTGGCTTTATCCCAATTCCATACTCCTTACTTCATTGCAAAATTTTTTCTTCGATAAAACCGAAACTCCATCACTTGTACCGTTTGTCACAGCTCACATAACACTCACAATATTCTTTGCCCACATAAGAATTAAGACCCCTTTTTTCATTTGAGAAAACACAGTATTGAATCCATTAAGAACTAAGTGATCTACTGTATAAAAAACTCTCACACCTTAAAAGCACAACATCCAAAGCGAATCGCTAGATTATTACCGTGATAACATTCTAATCGATAAAATATTTTAACCGTTTTAGTCCATTTTTCAAAGCATATTTTCGTTTTAAAAATTCATTTCGAATTTGACAGCACACGTTGTAGTGGAAAGACACGCTTTTACTAATTCTTCGTCAACATTGAACATATAGGTAGATGGGCAGAAAAGAAGATTATAATACAACAAAATAATATTTTAAAAAGTTCAGTAATACTTTTAGCAGTTTTAAAAGAAATGGGGGTCACACTGAAAATGTCTAATGACCCCATGATCAAACTAAATAGGCTAATAGAGTAAAATGTTTTTCATATTTGGTGAAAACTCATTTAAATAATTCCCAAAGCTGAAATAATACTCAGTAAACACAAATCTAAGAATGCTTTCAATGACCCCAGTTAGACATTTTTTTTTAAATGAATTGAAAATTATTAAAAAAAAAAACATTATAAATAATTATTATGTCATAGTGATGCAAGTTGGCATGTAAGTCTAATGAATAATTGTATTCTTAAAAGTTAAAATAAAATGCATTTATTACATTCCTTGTGATTCAAGATGGCGAAAATTTTACAGTGTTTTAATATGAAAAATACATTATTATGCATTTACGACATAATATTTATGATTTTGACATAATGATTTCGAGAAACGCTAACAGTTTCGCAGAACAATTGTTTTTTTTGTTTGAAGTTAATTTTATAATATGTATTTCATATTTCTTATAACTCTGTAAGTAAAAAAATCACATCTATTTTTATTGTTGATGTTTTATTATGTACACTATTTATCTTTTTGCAGTATCATCTTTCAATCTGAATTCTAATGACTAATCAATAATGAAATCTGTCTTTTAACTTTACATTGATTTGGTTACTTGACGTGTCAAATCAATACTTTTTAATCAAAATTGATGTATAAATGTTGTACAGTTATCATGTGTAGCATAGTTAACTCTTTGAAATAAACTAAACTTTGACTACAATACCTATAAGATCTCTTTTATCACCTGTCATCTCTCAATCACCCAAAGGTCGACTGTTAGACAATGCCTAAGGCATTAGTCCACCTTTAGGTACATGTATTTCTATAAAGTGTATAAATAAATAAATAAGATCAATTATTTAGAGATTAGGGGAGGGGAAGGATTGGGCCTCCGCTAACCACACTCAAATGGCGAAATACAACGCTGTGGTTGTTTCACGTCAGTTTTTTCTAAGGCTGTTGTATCAGATCTTTTGACTAATCACATAGGTACTCAATACTGGTAGTGTTCGTACTGTGGATAGGTACTTGAAATGTATTTGTAAAATAAGAATGGATGATGTATAGGTAGAATATTTAAGTAGTTTTCCTTATATTTGTGTGTCATTCCTTTTTGACAAAGTCAAGTAACCAATATAAAAAACAACAGATACAGAATGTTTATTTATGAGAATAAACGAGTAATTAGCATGCTTTGTTAATATCACTACATAATTTTAATCGATAGCAAATCAGCAGCTAATTTGGAAGCAACACGTAACATAAAAATCATCTCTACAGTTCATAGAAATATTTTTACTAAACATACTACACAAATGTATGCATATAATTTAAAATCTCGCTTCATTCCTGGAGGCGGTAGAAAATGTATTCTCTTACACTCCGATTTTACTGTTAATATAACAGCCAAACACTGAGGGTTCTTTCCAATTCTGTGCTGTGTATCATCCAGATTGTTAAAGTTGGAAAATCTATACACATATACTTAGGCTGAGAATGATTTGAAATGTTTAATTAAAATCAATCAAATCAAAACGTCACCATGGACACCCGCAACACCAGAGGAATTGCAAGTACGTTGGGACAAGAGAATTAAAGGATTGGGGAGGGTAGGAGAGTAAGAATTGGGCCTCCGGTAACCTCACTCACACTCAAACACAATGCTCTGGTTGTTTCACGCCAGTTTTCTGTGAGGCCGTGGATTACTCCGGACAAGGTCATGAAGCATAGCCCTCCCACACTGTGTTTCATAAACTCCAATCTATTTTACCTCTGTTTACTGGCCATTACAACTGAGTGACAGCAAAATCATAAAAACACAGAACAGATTCTTACTTTTGTACATAAAACAAACATTTCAAATCAATCCTAGTCTAAGTATAGTATCAATTTTACTCTTAACCAACTATCGATATTTCATTGCTTGAAAGACTCACTTTAAAACCAACCCATAAGGCCTTTTATTTACACCCAATTTATTCTTTACAAAAAACCCTTCAGAAATAAAGCGAGATCTTAAATTTTAAGCAAGATGAGTTGTTACAATAAAACTAACTACTCGCATTTTGATTATGTATGGTGGTATCAATATATCAAAACTACTTTAAAGGGTGCTAATACCTTCCCAATGTCGCCAACCAGTGTCGCACCCTGGACACACAACCTCGCTACTATCAGTTAACCATCTCTACACTACATGAGTCGCAGTTTACATGTCACCATTAGCTCATGACGATACCTAAGTACGTATCGCCTGGACAGTCCACGCTACCATCAGTTGACTGGACAATCTCTACACTACATGAGTCACTGTTTACATGACACCATTAGCTCATGACGATACCTAAGTACGTATCGCCTGGACAGTCCACGCTACCATCAGTTGACTGGACAATCTCTACACTACATTAGTCACTGTTTACATGTCACCATTTGCTCATGACGATACCTAAGTACGTATCGCCTGGACAGTCCACGCTACCATCAGTTGACTGGACAATCTCTACACTACACGAGTCACTGTTTACATGTCACCATTAGCTCATGACGATACCTAAGTACGTATCGCCTGGACAGTCCACGCTACCATCAGTTGACTGGACAATCTCTACACTACATGGGTCACTGTTTACATGTCAACATTAGCTCATGACGATACCTAAGTATGTATCGCCTGGACAGTCCACGCTACCATCAGTTGACTGGACAATCTCTACACTACATGAGTCGCAGTTTACATGTGGATTCATGGTTTTATCTAAGTGCAATTAAATTCGCTACCATCAGTTTACTGGACAATGCGCTGTAGGCCTACCATGTAGTGTTAAAGCGAAAACGAGAAACTTTCGGGCGAGAAAGAGAGATGGAGCTATACACATTTTATAACTCCATCCCTCTTTCTCGCCTGGAAGATTCACGTTTTAACACGTCATAGTAGACCCTCTGTTCACTTGTAAATATTAGCTCATGACGTTACTACAAAACTTACCTACTGCATTTATCATAGTATTAGAATAAAAAAAAAAACATCTAATAATAACTTCAAATTATATTAATTATTGCTTCAAATTCAATCATTCTGAAATGAAAAGTTATTCAGAAATTTTAACAATAATTTGATTTTTTAACATTCCAGATCTGAGTTTAATACTATGATAAATACAAAAGACTCAAAAGAATACATCCTAAAGAAGACAGGACACGCCAAATCCAGCCTATCAAACCAGAATTTTGGTAAAATAACTGGCACCTAAAATATTCTGGTACTCAAATTCAATTTATTTTTAACTTAATAGGTTACCTTTCACACTTAGATCTTTCACCAGTAACGACACCTATTCCTTTATATCTTCATTTTACATTATAAATATTGCCTTTAAAACACACCCATGTAATATTATTAAATAACAAACACACAATCACATAGACACCACGAAAAAAAAATCACGAAGATCATTTTAACCTCAAAAATTATCGCTCTTAATCACATCAATATGTCTAATGACCCCTCTAAGAATAATCCTATAGACCCCATACGGATTTTAAGACCCCCATTAAATTTTAACGTGTTTTTTTATAAACGCTTTTTATATTGCTTAGGTATTTTAAATAGTGTTTTTTGATCTTCAATCTACGGAGGAGTCGGAGTCTTCGTTTTTCGTGCTCAGATGGAATGCTATTACGGGGATCGAACCTAGAACCATACAGGAACCCATACCGTAGAAACACCACGAATAACCACCAGTCACGTCACGGATGAGACCTGTAAATAAAAATGTTTATCTATACTAATATTATAAAGAGGTATTGTAAGTTTGTATGTAGGGGTAATCTTTGGAACCGCTGGTCGGATTGCCAAAATTCTTTCACTGATAGATAGCTACAAGGTTCCCGAGTACTATGGGCTATAAAAAATCACGCTACAATCAAATGGAGCCGAGCAGCGAGTGAAATCGCGCGAGAGTATCTAGTCTATTATATATGAAAACTAAATATTGGATGATACAGGCTGGTCGTGGCCATTTTGCCGCTAGATGGCGTTGAATTCAATATTTATAATTTTTTTTTAGTTTGATTGCATCAATAGGTATTATGTTACAGAAATAATTGAGTGACAACCGAACATTAGACTTTACCACCAAAACCAAATAAACATCATCTTAAGCCTATGAGTGCTCAGTACTGAGCAAAGGCCTCTTCTCACACCGAAAAAGTTTAAGCATTAACCACAACCACAACGCTTGCTTAAGGCAGATTGGTGACGTCAAACTTATAATTAGAAATTATAAGTTGCAGGTTTCCCCACGATGTTTTCCTTCACCGTATGTCAGTGGTGTCTAAAAAGACTTAGAAAGTACATATGACTTGGAAAAAGTCACATTCAGGGACTTATCAGCTTTTGAAGCCATTTTTCAAGAGAAACGGGTGCCTTAATCTCAGGGCATTCACTCTTTTGTTTTGGATTACATCTGTTACTTCTTCTGGTATTCCAGGTGTCCATGGGTGGAGCTAAACACTTTCCATCAGGTGATCTATCAGCTCACTTGCCAAAAATAACTTACCAGCCGTAGGTGGTACGGAGACAGCAGCTAAACTCTGGAACATTCTGACTAAGCCGTACGAGGATGCTATGCGGGCTGTTCCAAAAGCATCAGCTAGGAGAACAGGCACCAAGAGGAACCAGCAACCCAAACAGAGGCCGTAGGCACCTGGAAACAATAATGTCAAAGTCAAAGTCAAATGTAAACATGTCAATGTCAAATCATCTATCCGGAGGAGTGATACCACCGCCTCAAAAACCGGCGTGAAGCAACATGATCACGAGAACCCTCAAAACTTAAAACTGATATCTTGTCATAATGCAGATTAAGATCCTTACTAGCAGTGTTGCATTCGTCCGTGCGTCACTGCAGGGGTGCCAACTGAAAATCAGTGTTGGGTGCTCAGTGTGCCCAGCTTTTGCTGAGTTGGCGACCCATTCGGATTGGGCATGTCCGCCAACCCAGGATAAAATCATTATGACTTTGTTAGTCTGTTTCAATGTTATTGTTTTGGTTAATTATATTTTTATTCAAACTTTTTATTGTATTTTTTTTTTGTTCGTGCCCTTCATGTCTTATTCCGAATAAAACAGTTTTCTTTCTTTCTTTCTTCAACACTTAAGGTGTCACTGTGTGAGTGAGGTTTACAGGAGGTCCAATCCTCTACCTCAATTCTCAATCCTCAAATCCACTTTTCATAAATCTCCAATAACCCACAAGAGGTCGGGACTTGTAGTAATTCCTTTAGTATTACAAGTGTCTATGGGCGGCGCTGATTGCTTACCATCAGGTAACCTGTCAGATCGTTTGCCGACTCATGACATTAAAACAAAATCTATTTCAATTATACACATTACAGGCACTTTTGAACGTCAAAACAAAAAAAAAAAATATCAAGAAGCTGTCAGTCTGTCGGTCAGTCCTCTAGTGAAGCTATTTGCTCGTTCCAAAGTGTAGATTCCTATGGAGAAGAACGAGCAAGAAACTCCATGGTTACTCTTTCAATCAGTTTTACAATTCAATTGGGTAGTTTTCTAGGTCAAAAATAAATTAATTCGACGTTTCAATGCAATAATATATTGAAAAATAACTATACTTTTTTTTTAATTTTAGATATTTTTTAGCTAATTTAAAAGAAAGAAATAAGTAAACTATTTGACTCAAAAATATTATGACTTTCATACTAATTTCATAGAAATCGTTTTTGACATTTGAATAAAAGTAATGAATTTGACTAGTTGGAAACTACCGTATTGTTTGTGTAAGAACAGTGTGTCACACAGCAAAATTACTGGCGCGCGTGCAATGTTCAAATTTCGCGCGTCCTTCTGCAAACTTCGATCAGCTGGGTGTGGGAGAGCCACGCTTCGGCACGAATGGGTCGGCTCGACCGGAGTGATACCACGGCCTCACAGAAAACCGGCGTGAAATAACCCACAGCGTTGTGTTTCGCCGTGTGAGTGAGGTTACCGGAGGCCCAAGCCCTCCCCTTCCCCTATCCCTTCCCCTATTCCTTCCCCTATCCCTTCCCAATCCTTATATCCGCAACCCCCATCCCCAAAAGGCCGGCAACGCACTCGTAACTCCTTTGGTGTTGCGGGTGTCCATGGGCGGCGCTGATTGCTTACCATCAGGTAATCCGTCTGCTCGTTTGCCGACTTATACCATAAAAAAAAAGCTGGGCGACATATGCCCGTAATTTTGTTATAGTAATACATATAAAACTAATGAGTATACAAAAAATGTTTCTGCTGTCAATTTGTATGTTGTCGTGAGTACAATCACGGGTTAAAATATCAATCACTTAATATTAGTCACCCTATATATTTCCTCATTCGGCAGTCATCCTTGCGAATCTTTTCACAAGTTTAATTAATGATTTAAAAGTAAATTAAACTTACCAGAGGCTATGGCGAGCGCCCACCACGATTTTAGGCTCGGCAGAGTCAGCACTGCTATGCCAGCTACCAGTATACTGTGAAACAAAACACAATTAAGGTTATTTTCATCAAGTCTGCAAGATCCATTCTTTGCGAGTGAAATATCTTTTTTTTTTTAGTTTCCTCGCACTAGATTTTTTTTCATGTACCGTGGGTGCGTTTACAAACACGATTTTATATACACATTCACATCTAGACCCGGAACAACAATTTGTGAATCATACAAAAAGTTGTTCCGTGCAGGAATCAACCGGCGACACGTTGCGCGGCAGCTACCGCGCCAACAGTACATTGAAAGATTGTTGTCGCCCTGGTTGGACTTACTGACGTAAATTCACTGATAAAAGCTCTATTTCGTCGCGAAACGCACGCTGCCCAAGAATAAGAGTTGCGTTGTGCAGTGCCGGCGTTAGGGAGGGAGGGACGTAATGGGGCGATGGCCTAGGTCGACAAATTCTGGGGGGCGCCAAGGTCTGAAGTTGGAGTCTCTTGTCTCTCCTGGTGCTCTGTGCATATGTATATTTTATTGAGTTTTTTAGATTGATTTTTTGGGGTTTTGTGGTCGATGAGTGACTCTAACGATATCAAAACGATCAGCAAAAAACTATCACTTGATATTGGTTCCCTCAAATGAGCGCCACAATATTTTCGCCCGGGTTGTCAGTGGCCGTAACGCCGGCACTGCCATTGTGACTTGAATTAGTTGAACTTTCTCAGTTATCAGTCTTATTCGCGTCAGTAAGTCAACCAGGGCGATAACAATCTTTCAATGCACTGTGAAAACAATGACTTACGTCATTCTAAAAATGATATATAATGATTATGTGGCATCACTTTAATCGAGCCGACTTCGCAGTGCCAAAACACGCTCATGTGAAAACTTAAGCTAAAATCTTACCTGACGATGTAAGCCTTTCTCCTACAGAATAGATGGAGATCACAAAGCCACCCAAGACCCAGTCTTCCACACAAGTCCAGAACAGCACTGATAGCTACCAGATGACCTAAAACAATACATTGAAGATTATAAATCAACTGGGGCTGGTCAGCTTTAGCTATCCTACCTAATATTATAAATTCAAAAATAACTCCGTCTGTCTGACTGTCCGTCTGTCTGTGTGTCTGTCTGTCTGTCTGTCTGCTGTGTGTCTGTCTGTCTGTGTGTCTGTCTTTTCTTCACACCTAAACTACTGAACCTGTTTGTGTAAAATTTGGTACATATATAGTTAAGTACTAGAGAAAGGCCATAGGATAGTTTTTAACCAAAAATTTGCAGGAAGTCACTATTCCACGCGAACAAAGTCGCGGGCAAAAGCTGATCTAGAAATATATTGTCCTTGAGGCTATTTTCATTTTCTGCTATATAAAAAAACGTTATTGATACATTAAACCTTTCTTAAGTTTTGTTTCTGTTGCCATAATATAAAAAAATCTTTCGGGGTTTCCCTAGCTTAGGAGACAGGATTTTCACTATATTTATGTCACGTTTAAACAAATGTATTGTATCTGTGACCTAAGTATTCCAAATCCTCCTAAATACACTATTATCTCATGACGGAACAGGGATAATAATGAAACAAAGAATCTGATTGAAAAAGAGTAACCATGGAGGTTCTTGCTCGTTCTTCTCCACAGGAATCTACAATTTAGAACGAGCAAATAGCTTCACTAGAGGACTGACCGACAGACTGACTTTTTAATTGTTTTACAATTTCTTTTTTGACCTTGACCTTGACTTTTACTTTCAATTTGAATTTAAATATACCTGTAAATCTCCAAAGGGGTAGAAAGAGGTTGTTTCCCCACCAATCCGACAGTTTAATTTTCTCAAAAATAATTTTACTATTTATCATGTTTTAAGTGTCAAAATCAATCTGAGTATCTCATTCACAATCGCAATTAAACTTGACTGCACGGTTGGCGCGGTAGCTGGGCAACTGGCTGCCACGCACGTGCTCGGGTTCCATTCCCGCAGGGAAAAAAACTTTGTGTGATTCACAAATAAAAATTCCATTGTAATATTATATTATGGCCAATATTTTTCCTGTTGTTGCTCAACTAGAAACAACTATATAGATATAAAATTTTGTGATCTAGACACGCGGTATCATGTCAAGCTAAGTTCAAGAAACAGAATTCTTATTTCAAAATAGTCTTCTTCTTTAAAATCAAATTTAACCTTATTTTTTTTCGTAATTTTACATTGGTATAACACGTAACAGTAGTTTTATTTAATTAAGCTTTTTTTTACTTATTTTGATATCTACTTTGACCTTGACTTCGACCTTGACCTTGACTTTAACTTTCACTCACCGGCAGCAGATTTACTGTGTCCAGCGGCGACAGTGTAGGCAGGGAGGTAGTATAATGCGTAAGGAGAGCCACACGACATGAGAGCGACTGATGCACAAAGTAGACCAAATCGCCATGATTTTAGTAGGGAAACGTCTAAATACCTGCAAAATAAAAATTTTTCATTAAGGGCTGATTTGTCAATAGTCAGATAAATGTTATCTGAGGAATAAAATTGTTGCTGTCTCTGTCTTATACAAACATTGTGACGCGCCAGCATCATAATTATTCAACAGGTAACTTTTATCTGATGATTGAAAAAATAGCCCTTAAATAAAGTGGCAATTCATAATGACAAACTTGTCAATATTAACAACTTTGAAATCAATTATCTACTATTCTGACACTATTGTAATAGCAGACTTATATACACACTTCTATACAAACTTATACAGGTTGTAAAAAGACACTTAACGAAGCCGAAAGCCACGTATTCTACCCATTATTTGGATCATTATTTTCTTTAAGACCATAGCTGAGACTCCACGGGTTCTCAAGATATTGAAGGTCAAAGATGCATTTTTTTGCGCAATCGAATTCTAAGTATTATTACAAAACTTTTTTCTAAACAAGCACAACACTTTTTACCAGATTACGAACTTTTAGCAAAATGACAATGGAATCGTGTTGGTTCTTAGATCTTACCTAGATATTTTATCGACACAGCCAGCCTCTTTCTTCTCGATCTGAACTTCTTCTTTCTGGACTTCCTCCTGCTTGATGGTGATTGGCTCCGTCAGCTTGCACGGTATCAGGCGACTTGGTGGCGGACGTATGTATAAAGATTTACTGAGAAAAGATAAATAGATCCAATAATGTTTCCAATAGGCTTGGCATTTGGAATGTTTAAAATTAGAAATGTTTATGTGAATAAAAAACTCTTTATAAATTAAAAAAAAAAATATTTTTAACCCCCGACGCAAAAAAGAGGGGTGTTGAGTGACGTGTCTGTCTGTCATTGGCATCCTGGAGCCTGAACGGGTGAAGCGATTTAAATTTAGTTTTTTTTTGTATTAAAGGTGACTTACGTGCGGGTGTTCTCAGACATGTTTGACGAAAATCGGTTGAGCCGTTTAGAAGTTACGGGGGGGTAAGTGGGGAAGGGTAACCGAAGGTCTGCAAATACCTATGTATAGTTGCGTGGGGTCTCAAATAAAAGCGCACTGAAATGGAATGTTGATGACTTCATCGAGAGGAAATGATGTAAAAAGTATAAAATAAAAAAATAAAATAGACCCTCGACAAAATAGCAATAGGCATGTAGCTGATAATAAAATTCATCATTGTTTCATTGTTTCACTATCCCCAGCGCCACGTTTTCTTTTAATTATTACTTTTTTAAGGAATATTAGATATTATGGTCGGGGGTTTTCTAAATTTTTAAATTTATAATAGTTATTTAACTTATCAAGGACACAGTGCAGTGAGGTAACTAACGAATAGTAAGGAAATGCGTATACTTTTTTTTAATAGAGTATTTATGTCATTCAATTCAATTCAATTCAAACTATTTATTGCAATCCATAATGTACATAAATACAGGTGGTAAAATACAATTAAGAAGAAACAATAAATAATAAAAAACATAAAATAATAGACCCGTTAGGGCACAGCAAAATTAAATAAATAAGTAGGAGAGAGGAAGGGCGCTTTTATCAACTTAACTTACCGTCATATTTTTTATACGAATCGACAGCAAACTAGCCTACGGATTACCTGATGGTAAAGCAATGGGCATCGCCCATGTACACCCTCAAAACCAAAGGAGTAACGAGTGCTTTGCCGGCCTTTTAAAGATTATGATTTCGGAGATTTGGGGATTGGGGGAGGGGAAAAGAATTAGGTGTCCGGTAACCTCACTCACACGGTGAAACACAACGCTGTGGTTATTTCCCGTCGGTTTTCTGTGAGGCCGTGGTATCACTACGGTCGAGGCTACCCATTCGTCCCGAAACATAGCTCTCTCCCACATTTACGAATCAAACATGAATGACATCAAAGTCAAAGTCAAAGTCAAAGTCAAAGTCAAAGTCAAAGCCAAAGTCATTTATTCCAACTAAACCATAAACAGGTACTTTTGGAACGTCAAAATAGAGAAGTAGTCTGTCAGTCTGTTCTTCAGTGAAGCTAGGTGCTCATTCCAAATGGTTTACCTGCTGAGATTCCTTCTCGCCTTATAAACACAGGTGCTGTCAGTAGACAAGTCTTCCACGGAGTGAAGGATAGATGAAGACCTTGTGGGTCTCAGGCGAAGACGAACCACTTCCTTTGGTAGACCTGTGGACAAATCAAGGTCAAGGTCATCATCATCATTAGGGTCAAGGTCAGAGATGGTTAAATTATGATTTTATTAGTTTTATGGTGTGGCAGTCGTCATGGTGGCTTGGAGGTAAAAGCGCTCGCTCCTTATGTAGAGGGCACAGGTTGAAAATCTGACAACGGTATGCTGATTTTTGCTAGCAGCAATACTTGAGCCAAATTCTTTTTGGATCGTTGCCATTTTAGTTTCGGAACCAATTTATATTATGATTGCTTTCAATATCGACCGATCAATTCGAACGTCGTGGTGGCCTGTAGGTAAGGCGCTTCTCATGCATGAAGGTGCGGGTTCAAATACCAATGTGACTTTTTCCGAGTTATATTTACTTTCTATGATTATTTAGACACCACTGACGTACAGTGAAGGAAAACATTGTGAGGTAACCTTTTTTATTTTTGACTGGGAAATATTATCCAATCACTTCTCTCGCTCAGGGTAAGGCAAGAGGAAGAGTTAGACTCTTTCTGACTAACAACCCCTGTTCCTTCTCCTGCTTTAGGCCGAGGCCGCGGTATCTTAGGTATTGCGCTAGCAACTGCTATCGTGAGGAAACCTAGACTTATAAAGTTCTAATTATAAGTTGTAATCGCCAATCCGCCTTGAGCAAGCGTGGTGTTTAATACTCAAACCTTCTCCGTGTAAGAAGAGGCCTTTGCTCAGCAGTGGGCACTTATAGGCTGATGATGATGATGTATAGCGTTATGGCCTCTTCAAATAAAAGAAAACAGGTGTGATGATACTCACCAACGACTCCTAAGACATCCAATCCTTCTGAATCCTCTGAATCCGAATGCTGAGACTGCATTTGCTGTCGAGCGACCTGAAATGGAAGAAGAATTTTAGACTAGGGCTTGGATATGCAGCAGTGTGATTCTGTAAGACTTAATCCTAGATTTCGAATCTTCGAAGTGTGAGAGCCAAGCTTCGGCACGAATGGGTCGGCTCGATCGGAATGATACCACGGCCCCATAGAATACCGGCGTGAAACAACCCACAGCGTTGTGTTTCGCCGTGTGAGTGAGGTAACCGGAGGCCCAATCCCTCCCCCTCCCCTATCCCTTCCCGATCCTTATATCCGCAACCCCTATCCCCAAAAGGCCGGCAACGCACTCGTAACTCCTTTGGTGTTGCGGGTGTTCATGGGCGGCGCCGATTGCTTACCATCAGGTAATCCGTCTGCTCGTTTGCCGTCTGATACCATAAAAAAAATCTGGATCCACTTTGAGTAGTAGTACACTAGCGCTACACTTGCGAGTTGAACTAAATTGACAGCAACATTTTGATGGATAAAGTATGAGATGACGTTAAAATTGGCATTCTATAATGTAATTTCCCCGTCACTTCACACTCGAACATGATTCAAAATCAAACAATTTTTATAGAATCCTCGTGCTGAAAACACGTTGTGTTTCGCCGTATGAGTGAAGTTACGGTAGTCCCAATCCTACCTCACCTCTCACTTCCTTATTCCCTAAGTAAATTGTTTAACGAACGAACGAACGTTTAAAAAGTGTGGGAGAGCCATGCTTCGGCACGAATGGGTCGGCTCGACCGGAGTGATACCACGGCCTCACAGAAGACCGGCGTGAAACAACCACAGCGTTGTGCTTCGCCGTGTGAGTGAGGTTACCGGAGGCCCAATCCTTCCCCGCCCCCAATCCCTCCTCAATCCCTAAATCTCCAAATCCCTAATCCCTAAAAGGTCGGCAACGCACTCGTAACTCCTCCGTTGCGGGTGTCCATGGGCGGCGCTGATTGCTTACCATCAGGTAATCCGTCTGCTCGTTTGCCGACCTATTACATAAAAAAAAAACGAGTAGACGGAATACCTGATGGTAAGCAATTGGCGCCTGGACATAGACTCCGGAAACATCAAGGGATTTTAATTGCATTGTGAACCTGAAATGCGCATGATATTCATAGCATCAACTTGTGCTTCCTTCGAAAGCTATATTTTGTGAAGAATTTGCCTATTTACCCCACTTGCTATACTTAACTCATGTAGTTTTTTTTTTGTGAGGGGAAAATCATCAAATGACTTCTCCCGCCCAGGGCCAGAGGGAGTGTCAGACTCTTACTGACTAAAAACCCCCCTGTTCCTTCTGCTCTGGGCCGAGGTCGCGGTGCCTCATTGCGCTTACCCCGCAACCCTGGCTGTAACTCATGTAGTTAGCACCCATTAAATTTGATAATTAATTAAACCCTATTCGAGTATCTTGTCCTGAAGTGCATTTACATCAACCCTGGTTCCGCACAAAGGGATAGAAATTTAAGGGTTAAGAATGCCCTATATTTTGAAGATGGGAAAGATTGGGCCTCCAGAAACCTCACTCACACAAAAAATTCAACTGAAGCGTAGTTTCAAGCAAAGTTTCTCTGAGGGTGTGGTATCAACTGCGGTCGAGCTAGTCGTGCCGAAGCTTGACCTTCCCACACTCATATTGTCAGTCAACAATTGTGCGATTTATGAAAAAATATCTGCCCTGCACAGCAAAACTTTGAAACGATCTTTCGGCAGCGGTATTTCCGAACCGATACGACGTTCAAAAATTCAAGAAACGAGCATACTCCTTCTAAAAATCCTGGCAATGCGCCAGTGACTTATCTGGTGTCGCAGATGTCCATGGGCGGCGCTGACTACTTACCATCAGGGGATCTGTTTGCCTCCTATTCCAATTACCTCAATCAAACTAGGATGCATGATCTCCGTTATAAGGTTAGTCCTCTTCAGATCCTCGCTGAGGAGCAGGTTTTTCTGGTTCAGCGTCAGCTCTGCATCAGGTTGGAAGAGGCTCTGCAGTCGATTGTCCTTCGAGGAGTCCGATTTGAACATTATGCCTTGATCTGTAAAGAATTGAGAAAAATATTAGAAATTGATTATTTTTTTAATACTTTCAAGATTTTTATCAATTATGTAAAAAGCTCCAGGACTGAAGACTTTAAGACATTTTTATTGTAAGCATTGCGCTTTTCTTGATAAATCATCATCGTATGGCGAAAGAGTTGTCTAACACTCCCTATCGCCTCACCCTGGGCGGGAGAAGTCATTTGATGATTTTCCACAAGAGAGAGAGAGAGAGAGAGTTTTTGTCTTTTTTTTCCTCCTATACCCTTTCGCAACATCCGATAAGGGATTATAATGCAAAATTACATAAAAATGTAGCGCAATATAAGGTTTTTTTGTGAGAGGAAAACCATCAAACGACTTCTCCCGCCCAGGGCCGGGCGGGAGTGAGTGTCAGACTCTTTCTGACTAAAAACCCCCCTGTTCCTTCTCCTGCTCTGGGCCGAGGTCGCAGTGCCTCATTGCGCTTACCCCGCAACCCCGGCTGACCATCAGCCCTAAGCGTATATAAGGTATGCTGTCTCCGATGGTAAAAAAACTGCCTCTTCATAAATATTACCTTCTTGAATGTCATGTAGGAGCGTAGTGTGTTCCGTGGTGGTAGTAGTGGCTGGTGTTCGATCAGCCAGCGCTGAGGTGTTGAAGCTGACTGGCGCTGGTCGGTACAGGGTCGCTGAAACGCATACGTGTAGCATACCACCACCTGGAAAAGGGAGTTTTTTAATGGAATTGGTCGGCAAAATAGCTGACGGATTACCTGATGGTAAGCAATCGGCGCCGCCCATGGACTGAAGAGCAAAAGAATACGAGAGCATTTCAGGCTTTTTGGGGATAAGGGGATAGGAATTGGGATTTGGGGAAAACTCTCTTAAACTGCGAAACACAACGCGTTTTCTGTGAGGCTATGGTATCATTTCGGTAAAGCCGACCCATTCGTGCCGAAGCATGGCTCTCACCTATCCAAAACAAGTAACTCCTTAAGCGTGGATCGTAGTGATACAACGGCCTCATTGAAAACCAGCGTGATAAAACCACAGCGTTGCGTTATGCCGTGTCAGTCAAGTCAAGTTTTTGGAGGCCCTATCTTACTTCCCGTCCCCCATTACCCTAAATCTCCGGTACCCTTATCCCCAAAAGGCTTACAACGCAGTCTTAACTCCTTTAGGGTTGCGAGTGTCCATGGGCGGCGCCGATTGCTTACTATCAGGTAATCCGTCAACTAAAATGTATATTTCTTATTCCGTATCTCATTACCTAATAATAGAACAGTGCCATGAAGTCCATACATATCCACAAGTTTCTCAATCAGCATTGGAAAGACGAAGCTCCCAGCTGCTGTCCCGCTCACACATATACCGTTAGCCAACGCCCTAGAAAGAGAAAGCAATATGATTATCAACAATAGTCTATAATTTCTTTAAAAAATGATAAAATTAATCTGACTTACCTGTGCTTATCAAAATACTGGGAGACGATCACAATACCAGGTGTAGTCGACAATCCACCACCAATTCCTAGAATAAAAAAACAATATTTTTGCTTTTGTTATTTCTTAAAATAAATAATAGGTAGACAAGAGAATTTATACCAAAACTCAACCAGTAATTAAATCTTCCCAGCAGACCTCTCTTATATATATATATATATATATTTATTTATACACTTTATACAAAAACATGTAAAGGTGGACTTAATGCCTTAGGCATTGTCTAACAGTCGACCTTTGGGTGATTGAGAGATGAGAGTGGCAGGTTATAACTTTACTTGACACAAAAACCAAATCTGAAGTCTCATGAGACCAGTAGACCAGTGGTCTTTTCAGTAGACCAACGGTCTACTAATCGTCTCTTTAGTATACTACTGGTATTTTCAGTGGACCAATCGATGTATTCAATAGCCCCAATATTTTTTTAGTCCTCTTACCAGTCATGACTCCGAAACTCAATAACAAATGCAGTAGACCGCGGCTGAAGTAGGAGAGCGCTAATCCAGTCGCACAGAAAAGACCACCGATGAAGACGACGAGACGACAGGAGTATTTTTCGCAGAGAGCTGAAGATAGAGGAGCTGGAACAAAAATAGACTGCTTAATTTTTCTGAAGTCTGTTGTAGTTGAAATATAAAGTCAAATTAGTACTTGCTTGGTTTGGAAAACGCGACTTTGTGCCTTAACTGACTGAAAAAGAGTGACCACGAAGTTTCTTGCTCGTTCTTCTCCATAGGAATCGCACACACTTATACACTTTGGAACGAGCAAATAGCTTAACTAGAGGACAGACGGACAGACTGACACACGCGAAGTTGATGTTTTTGAATATTTTTTTATTTTGTGTTTGTAGTTCAAAGGTGCCTATAATGTACTAGTCTATTTAAAATGAATATTTTTTTTATTTTATTTATTTAATAGGTCGGCAAACGAGCAGGCGGATTACCTGATGGTAAGCAATCAGCGCCGCCCATGGACACTCGCAACGGAGGAGTTACGAGTGCGTTGCGTCGGCAACGCTTTTAGGGATTAGGGATTTGGAGATTTAGGGATTTAGGAGGGATTGGGGGAGGGAAAGGATTGGGCCTCCGGTAACCTCACTCACACGGCGAAATACAACGCTTTGGTTATTTCACGCCGGTTTTCTGTGATATATATATATATATCCTTCCCCTTCCCCAATCCCTCAAACTCCAAATCCTTTATCCCCAAAAAACTAGCAACGCACTCGTACCGCCTTTGTCGTTGTGTCCATGGGCGGCACTGATTACCATCAGGTAATCCGTCCGCTCGTTTGTCGTCCTACCACATAAAAAACTGAACTAACCCAGTGCAAGACAGAGGGTTGAGAGCGCAGCAGGTATCCACGAGGCAACAGATTCGGATGAATCTGGAAACGTCTCCATGATCTCCACATACAGCACTCCATAAGACTTGAAAAGACCAGCCACCCAGAACTGGACCATGAACGCTCCGAAGACCACGACCCAGCCGTAGCCACCGTCAGGAGGTGCTGTACTTCTGGAAATAGAAAGAAAGAAAGAAAAATGCATTTATTTGACATTAGACATGAAAGCCGGAACAAAAGAAAATACAACACAAAAAAAAACAAATTTTTTTTAGATATACGTTGCTCCACACTTGGATTTTCTCCTGTGTCCTGGGTCCGGTGACAAACATACAATTTCACATACACATCACACCTAGACCCGGAACAACAATTTGTGAATCACACAAAGTGTTGTTCCGTGCGGGAATGAACCCGCGACACGTTGCACGGCAACCAGTTGCCCAGCCACAACTCCAACCATGTAGTCACTAAGATGTAGTAGATAAAGACCGGCCACATACTTGTAACTCCTCTATGTTGTCTATGAGCAGCGCCGATTGCCTACCACAGACAATTCACACATAAAAAAAAGCCAAAAAGTTTTGACCTTGCTACCTCTGTTGAAACTGTTTTGGTCCGCTCATTAATCACAAAAGACCACCAAAAGTTTTGATCCTTCTGTCAATCTGGAGCCGCTTAATCTATACTAATATTATAAAGAGGTAAAATTTGTAAGTTTGTATGTAGGGGGTAATCTTTGCAACCCCTCGTCGGTTTCCAAAAATTCTTTCCTTGATAGACAGCTACAATGTTCCCGAGTGCTATAAAATGATAAACTGTAAACCGAGTGAAAACCAGTCCTGTGCATTTGCACCGCGCTATACTTATATTTTTATTTATTGTGTAATGGTTGTTTTTGTATGTTTTATATAAATAGTTTTCTATAGGCTATAAAACATTACGCTATAATCAAATGGAGCCAAGCAGCGAGTGAAACTGCGCGCGAGGAGCTAGTTAGTACATAATTTTGTAAGAAAACAAAACTCACTCAGCGGAAGAATCGGGAGGCGGGCGCAGTTTTCTTGACGCTGCCAACAGAGGGCGCGCAGTCACCGACGAGAGAGTTAGTAAGGAATCCTCCTCTTGTTCTGTCGGGGACATCGCCGAGAGATACGCTCCTACTTGCTGTAAAGTAAACACAAGAAATGAAAATCATCATCATCATCAGCCCATAAGCGTCCACTGGTTCTCACACGGAGAAGGTTTGAGCATTGGTCACCATGCTCGCTCAATGTGGGTTGGCGATTCCAAACTTTTATTACGGTAGTTTCCAACTAGTCAAATTCAATACTTTTATCCAAATGTCAAAAAAGATACTTTTCTATGAAATTTGTATGAAAAACTGAGCTATGACGTCATTGTATTTTTGCGTCAAAATGCTTACTTATTTCTTAATAATTAGCTAAAAAATATCTTAAATTTAGTGTGTTGCTTGATCGATGAATAAAAATATAGTTATTTTTCAACATTTTATTGTATTGAAACGTCAATTTAATTTATTTTTGAGCCAGGTAACTACACAATTAGAAATTACAAGTCCACGTTTCCTAACGATGTTTACCTTCACCGTATGTCAGTGGTGTCTAAATAATCATAGAAAGTACATATAACTCGGAAACAGTCACATTGGTACTTGCCAGGTTTCGAACCTGTACCCTCATGGATGAGAAGCGGGCGCTTTAACCTCCGGGCCACCACGACGAAGAAATGAAAATGGAATAATTTACTTCTAAACATAGGTATATGTATAAAAGTTGTTGTGAATTATTGCAACTTAACGAGCCATTACATTGCCTTGGAGCGATCTACTAAACATATATTATAAATAGGTAAAATTTGTAAGTTTGTGTGTAAGAACTGCTGGTCGGTTTGCCAAAATTCTTTCACTGATAGATAGCTACAATGTTTCTGAGTGCTATAGGCTATACCTAAATTATATTTAATTGCGTATTTTAGTCGAGCTGTCGCTTTCAACACTGCTGTTGCGGAAGCTAGTATTAAATATAATTTGACAAAAATATGACAGATCATTTTAAATACCGAATGTCATTAAGGGCTGATTTTCGAATAGTCAGATAAATGTTATCTGAGAATTAAAATTGTTGCTGTCACTGTCTTATACAAACATTGTGACGCGACAGCATCATAATTATTCCCCAGGTAATTTTTATCTAACCATTGGAAAATCAGCTCTTAGTGTGAATAACTGAACTATCACTATCAGGAGTACATTACAGAGATATTTATAATGTTATCGCCAATACAGAATATCACAAATTAAAAGTAATGAAGGTTTTCGATACTTTTCCTGCCGCCAGGCGGCGCTTCGTATGCGTTAGGTCCAAACAGCTGTCAGATAGCACAGATTCTTACCGAACGTAGTATTATTTTAGTAAAATTTTATGTATTTGGAAGTGTTATTGATTTTATTATGGCTACAAGCCACTGTTTTAATCGGCTTTTTATCTTCTGTAGGGAACTTATGTCCTCCTTTTTTATTTGCACGCATAGGCACTGCAAAACACTGTGGCATTTTAGAAAACAATAAATAAGTAATCCGTTTGTAACGTTTTTAATAATAAATAAACCAAAAAAATGATCGAAAAATATAAATCGTGTATGTGTTTAGACAGGTAGTTGGACCTGACGTTACAGCGCTGCCATCTCACGGGGGGAACATTTCGAAAACCCTCATTAGGTATGGTACATTCACACGCTACCACACAACGCGTAACAAACAATTCAGAGTTTCAGGCAATTCTGATTTACCGTTGCTAATGGTAACTCAAGCAACAAGCTGGCTGGTCGCTCTCTCTGTTCCGGTGGGGCTGACTGCACAGAGAGCAGGGAACCTGCCTTATCCGGAGACAGGATCGCCTGGAAACAGGATTAGAGTTAACGACAATCACAAATTCATAATTCTTTTCTTTCTTTTAATTATAACGTTGCCCCACACTAGGATTTTCCCCTGTATCGTGGGTGCGTTTACAAACATACAATTTCACATAAACATGACACCCAGACCCGGAACAACAATTTGTGGATCACACAAAGAGTTGTTCCGTGCGGGAATCGAACCCGCGACACGTTGCGCGACAGCCAGTTGCCCAGCCACCGCACCAACCGAACAGTCAAATTCAATTACTGGGATTCAATAAATCATAACACTTATTACTTCCAATAAAAAATTAAGTGTGGGAGAGCCATGCTTCGGCACGATTGGGTCGGCTCGACCGGAGTGATACCACGGCCTCACAGAAAACTGGCGTGAAACAACCATAGCGTTGTGTTTCGCCGTGTGAGTGAGGTTACCGGAGGCCAAATCCTTCCCCACCCCTAATCCCTCCTCAATCCCTAAATCTCCAAATCCCTAATCCCTAAAAGGTCGGCAACGCACTCGTAAATCCTCCGTTGCGGGTGTCCATGGGCGGCGCTGATTGCTTACCATCAGGTAACCTGTCTGCTCGTTTGCCGATCTATTACATAAAAATAGAAGTACAATATTACCTCGGAGATGACATCTGTAGGCAGGTCGATGGAGCAGGACAAGGCGGTTGATGTCGGCGGCGCTGAGGTCCCGAGCTGACTCTCAAGCTTCGACAGCTCCTGGTAACAATAAACAAGGGTATATTAAAGTTTTCACAAACATAATTGAACCAACTGTTTGTATAAGGAATTTGTATGTGAAACTGATTTAAAAAGAGTAACCATGGAGTTTGTTGCTCGTTCTTCTCCATCGGAATCTACACTTTGGAACGAGCAAATAGCTTCACTAAGAGGACTGACCGACAGACAGACACTAAATCTTCAAAATTTTGTTTGACGTTCAAAAGTGCCTGTAAGGGTCTAATTGGAATAAATGATTTTTGACTTTGATTTTTTCTTTTATACTTCAATGAATGGCGTGAAATAACCACAGCGTAGAGTTTCGCCGTGTGAGTGAGGTTCCAATCCCTCCCTCTCACCCCATCCCTTCTCAAACCTTAAATATCCGAAACCCTTATCCCCATAAGGCCGGCAACGCAGCCGTAACGCCTTTGGTGTTGCTGTATCGTTGGGTGGCCATAGGCAGCACCTATCAGTTACCATCAGGCGATTCGTTTGACAAAATCTCTAAAAGAGAAAAAATGTAACTAATGAACTGAATAGTTTTCATTTGACACAATCATGGATGGACACAATAGATGAAAAATAGGTTTATTTTAATGAATGAATACCATATCTACATGCCTATTATTTTTGTGTTTTTTTTCTGAGGGGAAAATCATCAAATGACTTCTCCCGCCCAGGGCCGGGCAGGAGGGAGTGTCAGACTCTTACTGACTAAAAACCTCCCTGTTCCTTCTCCTGGTCTGTGCCGAGGTCGCGGTACCTCATTGCGCTTACCCCTCCACCCCGGCTGAACATCAGCCCTTTAGGGCCCCGTCTGTGGTGGTCTATTAGCTCTTTGAGGCGCGCGCGGAACGCTACGTGCCGTACGCTCGGGCCTGGTTCTGGTCAGGCGGTGAGCTGCCCTTACTCGCCGACCGCAGGCCCGATTATTTTTGTGTTGGATAGTCTATTCATCAGGAAGGCTATAAACCGTCACGCTACGTCCATAAGGAGCCGAGCAGAAACTAAAACATCGCGGCAATAAACAAACAATATATAATTATAACGTTATGAAATCACAACATTGATTTTAACAGTGTGAAGAAATCTTATAAGTGTAACCTGCATCTAAATATAGCTTAGTTAAGTTATGTAATGTCAGAAAGAAAATAAAGAAAAACCATTTATTTTGCACAGAACACACATGAACTTAAGAACTACGACAAAATCTAATAATAGGTCTTTACCTATGAAATTGCCGTTCTGCAGTACTGGCCATTTCAAATCAAAATAGTTTTTCTTAGACTAAGGCTAATTAATTTTGTTTTAAAAACATGGGATTATTTTTCCAAAAGCAGTCATTTGTTTATTGATTAGTGTTACATTTTTATCGCATTTCAAATAAAAAAAAAATCGTTTAAATTTTTTCATGCGAAACGGTAATTTCATAGGAAAAGACCTATTATTTAAAATTCTCGTGTCACAGTTTTCGTTGTCATACTCCTCCGAAACGCCTGACCGATTTTGATGATTTTTTTTGTCCTTATCCGGTATCTATGCGAATCGGCCCACATTTTTCATCCCCATTAATGTTAGGGGTAGGCCACGCCTCAATTTTTTATTTCATTTATTAGAACAAAAAATTTAATTTCTTTTTTTTATGATACAACATACAAAAATACATACAATCCTAAATTTTCACCCTTCTACGATGAACCCTTATTTTTTAATAACCATTTTAGTATTTTAGTCATTTTTTCTCTCCGGTCAAAAAACAACGTTTGCCGGGAGTTAGGCAATCGCCTAATGTGATCGGATGACTCCGTGCGTCATCGCAGAAACTGCACTATTGCAGATTTAGCAATAAGTTTAGTTAACAGAAATATTATAATTGTAAATTAGTCTTGTAGTATTGTTTTAATTAAATGAATCTTTTTAATAATTATCTCGTTCGCCGTAACTTAACTCGGGTCAGCTAGTATTAATATAGAAAGCGAAAGTAATCAGGCAAATATAACAGAAAAACATAACAAAAACTATCACGCATTCTATTCCCTAAAGGGGTCTGTAGACATATAGGTTCTTGGTTTTACGTGATAAACGAGCTGAAGAATTACCTGATGGTAAGCAATCAGCCCCGCCTATGAACACTTGTAACACCAGAAGAGCCAAGAGCGTTTCCGGACTTTTGGTGATTAGGATTTCGGAAATTTAGATTGGGGAGAGATTGGGCCTCCGGTAACCTCACTCACACGGCGAAACACAACGCTGTGGTTGTTTCACGCCGGTTTTCTGTGAGACCGTGGTATCACTCCGGTCGAGCCGACCCATTCGTGCCGAAGCATGGCACTCCCACACATTATGTATATACGATGTAAAATCAATATTTCGAAGTTCGCTACTACAGTGTGATTCTGTAAGACTTCATTCTAAATTTCGAATCTGAATCTGCTGTGAGTAGTACACTAGCGCTACACTTGCGAGTTGAACTAAATTGACAGCAACATTTTGATAGATGTTTTGTATTATTTGTATGAGATGACGTTACAAGTGGCATTCTAAAATTTAATTTCCCCGCCACTTCGACGCTCACTTCGCATTCGAACACGATTTAAAATCAAACAAATTTTATAGAATCGACGTGCTGATATAAATATTTTCTTATAACTTATGATAGGTACTATCGTATTTACACAACACCATCATTTGCCAGTCGCATTTGTGTCGACTTAACCATCGAGCCTATTAATAACAAAATGGAAAAAATCTAAATTTTTCCAATCGAAAATAGATCTGCTGGAGTTGTTCGTAAAGGGCAATAATATACAGAAGCAGGAGAAAGAACGGGGTGGTAAGAGTCTGACACTCTCTCTCGATCCACTCAGGGCGGGAGAAGCCATTCGATTTTGTTTTACGTCATAGGTCGACAAACGAGCCGGCGGATTACCTGATGGTAAGCAATCAGCGCCGCCCATGGACACTCGCAATCCCAAAGGAGTTACTACAAGTGCGTTGCCGACCTCTTGTGGGTTGTTAGGGATTTAAGGATAGCGATTTGAGGATGGAGGATGTGGGGAGAGGGAAAGAATTGGGCGTCCGATAACCTCAATCACACGATGATTTTCCCTTGTCAAAGAAAGCCTAAAACTCAGTTTATTTACATCAATCGAACGCGGATCACCTGATGTTAAGCAATCGAAGCTGCACATGGACATCCATAACGTAGGAGCAGTTAGGGATTTGACGATTGGGTGCTCGGGGATGGAAAAGGGACCTGGGCATATTGTTATCTCACTCATACGGCGCCGGCGTGGCACAATACGCTGTTGTATGTAGTATCACGCCTATACGTACCCCGTACTGTAAGGCCGTACCCGTGACTCCGGTCGAGCCGACCCATTCGTGCCGAAGCATGGCTCTCCCACACATTATTTACAACTCGCTTTTGCCCGCGACTGCGTTCGCGTGGAATAGTGACTTCCTGCAGATTTTTGGTTTAAAAACTATCCTATGTCCTTTCTCGACTTCCTAACTGTATCTGTACCAAATTTCACAGAAATCGGTTCAGTAGTTTAGGCGTGAAGAAAAGACAGACAGACAGAGTTACTTTCGCATTTATAATATTAGTTTGAATGTAAAACCGAGTTTAAATTGGGCCTCCGATAACCTCACTTACGCAATGATTTTCCCTTGTCAAAGAAAAGCACCTAAAACTCAGTCGGCCTTATTACAAAACGAGGTTTTACTTTAGTCTAGGACTAAGCCATTGAGCCAGTTTTCGTATTTCAAATTGAAGGTCGTGGTGGCCCGGAGGTCGTGGTAGCCCGGAGGTTAAGGAGCCTGCTTCTCATGCATGAGGGTGTGGGTTCGAAACCTGGCAAGTACCAATGTGACTTTTTCCGAGTTATGTGTACTTTCTATGATTATTTAGACACCACTGACAAACGGTGAAGGTAAATATCGTGAGGAAACCTGGACTTATAATTTCTAATTATAAGTTTGAAATCGCTAACCCGCATTGAGCAAGCGTGGTTATTAACGCTCTAACCTTCTCCGTACGAGAAGAGGCCTTTGCTCATCAGTGGGCACTTATAGGCTGATGATGATGATGATGATGATGATGATGATGATGACAATAGAATTCAAAATTCAAAACCCGACTCAATGGTTTAAACCTGGACTGTTTTGTCAAACTTGTTTTGTAATAAAGGGGAGTTTGTTTACAACATCAACCGAACTCCAATCGAACCTTGACCTTTACTTAAATATATTTCAACAAACTCAGGTGTGTGCGTCCCTAACTCTGTTCATTGAATTATATTTCCTAATTTGTGAACGTTTAGGTGCTATTTCAGTTACAGCTGAGGTCAGGGACTCTTCTCTGATATGACAATAGATAAGTACGTTAGATATTGACCTCTTTTATATATAGATAGGTATACTAGCTACACAGAAGACTATGTTTTTTTTTTGGTGCGGACGAAATCATCAAATCATTTCTCCCGCCGTGGGTCGGGCGAGAGGGAGTGTCAGACAAGAGTCTGACACTCCCTACTCTAAAAACACCCGTTTCTTCTCCTGCCCTGACTTATAACCGCATAGTATTTTTGAGTCAAATAGCTTATGTATTTCTTAAAAATTACCTAAAAAAATTGCTAAAATTTTGTGTATCGATCGAGCGATGAATGAAAGTATAGGTAGTTATTTTTCAATATTTTATTATATTGAAACGTCGAATTAATTTATTTTTGACCTAGGAAACTATCCAATTGAGCCAATCATAAAAATTTCATTCTGGCCTTGAAGCCACTTAGGCTATATCATTCGGGGTACACAGACAGGTATCCAGTTAGATATACCATATGACTCCTTATGTCCACGGCTCGATAAAAGATTAATAATTCTAAGTATAGCAGAATGTATGGGGAATCAATAACTAGTGGATGTCATACGGATAATTATATATAAAGCTGACCTTGCTGTGGACAGCGGAGGCAACCTACGTGTGCACTTAAGAGAGAATTGAAAACTAAATCAATACTTTTTTTGACGGGGAAAATCATTGAAGCTTTCGCCCAGGGTGAGGCGAGAGGGAGTGTCAGACTCTTACTGACTAAAATCCAACCCGTGACTTTAACTGACTAAAATCCAACTCATTCCTTTTCCTGCGCCAGGCCGAGAGCATCCCTCGAGTGTACGGCGCGTAGCGTTCCGCGCGCGCCTCAAAGAGCCAATAGACCACCACAGACGGGGCCCTATAGGGCTGATGTTCAGCCAAGGTGGAGGGGTAAGCGCAATGAGAGAAGGAACAGGGGGTTTTTAGTCAGTAAGAGTCTGACATTCTCTCTCGCCTTACCCTGGCCGGGAGAAGTCATTTGATGATTTTCCCCTGTAAGTACGTACTACATAGAAGTCTTGCTACTCACCGCAGTAAGAGACAGGAAAAGAATAATAAAATTAAAGTTAAAAAACTTAATACAGTTTTTATTAAAACGTTACCCCACATTAGGATTTTCTCCTGTGTCGTAGCTGCGTTTACATCATCATCAGCCCATAAGTGCCCTCTGTAGAGCAAAGGCCTCTTCTCACACGGAGAAGGTTTGAGAATTACACCACGCTTGCTCAATGCGGGTTGGCGATTTCAAACTTATAATTAGAAATTATAAGTCCAGGTTTCCTCACTATGTTTACCTTCACCGTATGTCAGTGGTGTCTAAATAAATAGAAAGTACATATAACTCGAAAAAAGTCTCATTGGTACTTGCCAAGTTTCGAACCCACACCCCCATGCATGAGAAGCGGGCTCCTTAACCTCCGGGCCACCACAACAGGTGCGTTTACAAACATACAATTTCACATACACATCACACCCAGACCCGGAGCAACAATTTGTGGATCACACAATGAGTTGTTCCGTGCGGGAAACGAGCTCGCGACACATTGCACGGCAGCCAGTTTCCCAGCCATTGTGCCAACTTTGCAGTCTAGGCCAGTTTAGGTGTAGACCCATGTATGGAAGCAATCACTCAAAGGCAAAGTCAAAAGTCAAAATCATTTATTTGAAATAGACCACAGTAGGCACTTTTGAAGGTCAAGCAAAAAAAAATAAATAAAATATCAAAAGAGGTTAAACTTTATGCGTGTCAGTCTGTCCGTCTGTCCTCTAGTGAAGCTATTTACTCATTCCAGAGTGTAGATTCCTATGGAGAAGAACGAGCAAGAAACTCCATGGTTACTCTTTTTCAATCAGTTTTACAATACATTTCTTTGTTACATCATTTAGTCGGTTCTAAGTATTTTGTCGAAAGGAATTAGCATTCATCAAAATTCCTTCACACGTATACTATATCAGGTAATCAGTCAACTCGTTTGCCAACCTATGACATAAAAGTGTGGGAGAGCCATGCTTCGGCACGAATGTGTCGGCTCGACCGGAGTGATACCACGGCCTCACAGAAAACCGGCGTGAAACAACCAGTGTTGTGTTTCGCCGTGTGAGTACGGTTACCGGAGGCCCAATCCTTCCCCTTCCCTAATCCCTCCCCAGTTCCTAAATCTCCAAATCCCTAATCCCTAAAAGGTCGGCAACGCACTCGTAACTCCTCCGTTGCGGGTGTCCATGGGCGGCGCTGATTGCTTACCATCAGGTTATCCGTCTGCACGTTTGCCGACCTATTACATTAAAAAAAAAATCAATATTGCAATATAGTCTAGTCACAAAACATATAAAACCACTGAATCTTAACGAAAGAAATCGATGAGAATCCATTGCATGATTCTTTGTACTTCGAAAAGTTTACAGTCGTTACGGACAATAAAAAAAAAATTGAAGGTTCTACCAGCTGCATTGCCTGATCCAATATTATTTAGCATCACGCTATTTACAACCTTTTTAATCGCCGATAAATTATTCAAGCAAATATCAACATGAACAGTATTACAATATTAGTCACAATGTCAAAATGTCCTTAAATAGGCTTTTTCTAATTATTGGACACTAGCTACTCTTGCGCGGTTTCACCTGCTGCCCGGCTCTTATAGATCGTAGCGTGATGTTTTATAGCCTATAGCCTTCTTTGATAAATAATCTAGTCAGCAAAAAAAAGATTTTTTCAAATTGAGCCAGTAGTTCCTGAGATTAGCGCGTTCAAACAAACTCTTCAACTTTATAATATGACGCCGTATTCTCCTTCTGTGAGGCAATCAATCTGCTTTGAAATCGCTAATCCGCATTGAGCGAGCGTTGTGATTAATGTTCAAACCTTCTCCGTGTGAGAAGAGCCTTTGCTCAGCAGTGGGCACTTGTAGGCTGATGATTTGACTGTGAACTTACTTGAGACGCCACTTAACGAACAGTGAAGGAAAACATCGTGAGGAAACCTGGACTTATAATGTCTAATTATAAGTTTGAATTCGCTAATCCGCCTTGAGCGAGCGTGGTGATTAATGCTTCTCCGTGTGGCTTTAGCAGCAGTTACTACAATATAGGTAGCTAACCGGCTCTGACTAGATCAGATATTGATCGCAAAGGTCGACGGTCGCTACCGACTGTGATGTGCTAAGCTGTCTCGACGTCTAATGGCAGACGGCAGACTATTTATTATTTATGACTGTTTTTAAATGCAATTTTTCCAGTTTAAAACTTTAAAAATGACTCATGTTGGCTTTGTAAGAGTATTGAAACAATGAAACAATAAATTTATTTTTGCAAATAGGCCATAAAACGGCACTTTTACTAGTCAATTTATATGTGAAAAACTAGATGAAGCCGGCATTTCCTATCTGACTACTCTGAGAAGAAATGCCGAAACAAACTCAGATGTCAGTCTCTTTTCAAGTTCAGACAATGTGAAAATAACATAATGTGAGAGAACCGTGCAAGTTCATTCTGTAGTGGTCTTTTGAGGAAAGAACTACATCAGTTTAAATGGACCCGTTCTGAAGACAGGCACGCAAGTGTCAGTTTGCAACCAGTATAGCTGTTAGGTGTAAAAGAGCCATGCTTCGGCACGAATGGGTCGGCTCGACCGGAGTGATACCACGGCCTCACAGAAAGCTGGCGTGAAGCAACACTTACGTTGTGTTTCACTGTGTAATCGAGGTTTCCGCAGACCCAATCCGGAAAAAATCCACTCTATCCTCAATCCTCAGGAACAACACACAAAAGGACGGCAACGCACTTGTAGTAACTGCTTTAGTATACGAAGTGTCCATGGGCGTCGTTAACTGCTCACCATCAGGTAATCCATAAGCTCGTTTAACGTTCTATGACTTAAAAAAAGAAGAAAACAAATCTCGCGTCGCTCCCGTCATTTGAGTACCTACCCAACTCTACCTACCCTACTCTATCTACCCTACTCTACCTACTCTATCTACCCTACCTGCTCTACCTACCCTACCTAACCTACCTGCTCTACCTACCCTACCTA